GGAAGGGAATATGTGCACAGAAAAAACAGATAGGGGGGGCGCTCTTTTGTTTGTTTTGGGCCTTTAGTTCCATGTTTTTAGCCCCCATTCCTTAGTTGGGGGGGGGGGGGGGGGGGGCGTCAGCGCTCAGATGATTTATCCTCGCTTCCCGATTCCAAATACACAAGTAGAGTTGAACGTGATCGGTCCCCAAGACCGTTTGACTATCCTGGTTGTGTTCAAAAACAAATCGTTTTAGCGTGAGTGTGGGTTGGAGAAGGTTGACAGACAAAGGAATGAGACGGGTGGCTCGTGCACTGCACTGTACACCCAACAGAGATTTCGATACTCACGTTGTCCACAACCCGATGAAAATGGAGAAGAGCGCCGAGCCGAGCGCGTTCGGGTCATTCCCGCTCAAGGCCACGTGCACCCAAGCCATGACCCCGACGATGCTGGCTGGAATCAACCTTGACGTTTGCCGCGGCGAAATGAAATGAAACGACTACTGTGTGCCGTGAATCACGCTTCTCCGTTCTACCTTGTTGAACGCATCATGGCACATAGCACGCGACAAGTGTTTAACTGCTTGTATGCATGCCCGAACGGAAACGTGAGGTTGGCCTGACCGACCTTGGCCTGGTCGTATAGGTACCCTGTGTCCAAAGAGTGGCGGTATGAGCCAACTGCAGCAAGAAGTCCTCCCGCACGTACGCCAGTCAGCAACAGTGCATAGCTGTTGACGCCCCCCCCAGTCGGTGCCTCCTGTATCTCGTAGAACGTAACGAAAAGCTGCCCCCCCCGGCCTCCCAAACCTTCTCTCTTCGGTCTCGCCCACTTTCTAGGTGACTCACCAGGTGGTGTAGTGCCCTAGCCAGAGAAAGTAGAGCCCTATTTTCTCGCCGAAGTAGTTCTTGACGTCGTCGATCGGCTCTTTCCAAGGAGGGCGAAAGTACTGCAGCCATCTGTGGTTGTTCCAATCGGTTGTAATCGCTGTTTGTCGGCACGTTGTATGAAAGTCATGAGTGTTACTTAGACACGCGGTACATGTCGTGTATGTTGTGTTTGGTGTTGTGCCATGTTGGTGCAGCTATCACAGCGCGCTGGTGTTTGCGGCATCGGCCCGAAAACGCTTGATCGCAAGAGGATATGCAAGAAAATATACTCATGTCCGTGGTGCGGAACGGCCACCTTTTACGCACGCAGGCTGGGAATGCATGGGTCCGGTAGATTTATGCACTGTGCAGCGACGTCCAGCACGGTATGTTTTTTCGTTTTGTCCTCCAGGATACGTCTCCGGCCGGAAGGTGATGTCACGTCTCAACAACACCGATATTCTCAGGTGGCAATCACGTTGTTGTACGTGCCCAGTCACTCTTTAGGCTATGCCACAGAGAAACGACGACCACACACACAACAGTTTGCGGTCGAATCTTAACGAAGAGTTTCTTTGCTCAACGACGAAAAAATCTCATGACATAGCGGGTCTAAGCCCTAGAGAAAACAGATTGCCCGAACCACGAGACGAGAAGAAAAGTAATGGTACTCACTTCCGCTGAAGGGCCCGCAGCTCAACCTTGTCATGGAGAGGGAAGAAGGCCAACAGGCACTTGGACTTGACCAGCCGGAGGATGTCGAGGTTGCACCCCGAGTCTGCTGTCTTGGCGACGAGGATGCTGTACAGGAGTTTCAACCTGTCAGTTCCCCGGAAGGGGATCATCATCACCTCGCGTTCTAGGCCACCGTGCTTCTTGTATAAGCTCTCCAGTTCTGGCCTGTCCACTGTGTACTGCAGTCGAGAAGAGCGTACCGCATCCGGACAGAGTTCAATGAAATTGCACCAAACAACAGTTTTGCGTCTCATGTGTGATTGACCCTGCTCTTGTGTGGAACACGGAACGCTGCCGGTTGCGTCAAATCTGTAACCCTGCCGTGCTTGGAACATGAAACGCTACGGAGGATACGAAACGTTGTATGCATAGCTAAATCCGTGAGTGCCGCGTGGAAGGAAAGGAGAGCAACATGCAACCAACACAGAAACGGCCGTCGTCTCAGCTAGTCTGCTGCAAGAAATAGCAGCTAAACCGGATTACAAGCGCAGGTATGCATCCCACTCTGATGACTACCTTCTTTTCGGGGGAGAATGTGTATTCGGAGCTACGACAGCGTTGGCTAAACAACGTGCCTGCCATGCTGGCTTCGGCATCATGGCTAGCTGACAACCGAATGTTTCAGTGGATGTCAAGGCCATGTGATCGTAGGAATACAAAAAGGCATGGTTCTAACCCATTCTACCTGCAGCAATCATCGTGACGAATGAGTTCTAGACGACGAAGGCCCTCAATTTCGTTCCGATTCTGTACAACACTAGACGCTTGATCGCGCGAAATACACTCAACTCACATGTTGCACTGCTAACTACAATTCGCACGCCTTCGAGCTGCCGCACAAGCTATCCCTATTCCGCAACAGAGCCACCAGTACGTCAACGCTGAAATATCAGCATACAGACAACCAAGCGTATGTAAAAAAAACACACACCGGCGCGTAGATGTACTCGTACGCCTCGTACGGTGATTCGTTGTACTCGTCCTGGATAACGATGGACGCCCATTTCCCCGGTCGGCCATGCTGGCACGTACTCCGTAGGTTGTTGGCGTCGAGCAAAATCTTGTACCCGACGCGGTCCTACTCACAGTCACGACCAGGTGCACGGAGGCGGCGGTCACATGAGAGGGTTATCATCATCCAATCACCAACATACCGTTTTACTGGGGGAAAAGTCCACTAAACGCCGATCGTTGTGTTCCACCCGCCACCTCAACCTCGCGGTCGCTGGAAGGATACTACCTTCCTGGTTTAAGGGTCAACCAAAGCACGCCGAACTCGCATCTACAGTAAGTTGAACGTTGTGAGCTCGTACAGCATTCGTCTAAGTGGGAAACTTTTCAGCAATGTCGACCGTGGCTTTGTCACGCCGGACAAAATCATGGCGTGTTCGTCGTTCGAACGGTATACAGCAGCACAGACATGTTAGTTTTGCCGACAACGTTGCGACGAGACTCACCGCTTCACGTTGGAGCCGTTCCAACGGGCATCGGATTTTGCAATACACCTCATCACGTTGCACGGAGTAGAACATGCGCGTTTCGATGCCTGCACGCAGAGGCAGGAGGTAGCAAAGAGACAAGCAGATTGAATCAGGTAGGACGTTACAGGTAGGACCATATTGGGATGTTGATGTAGCTAAGTGACTTGTTTCGATGACAAGGAGAAAAAACAGTTGTCTACTATTTTTGACGGATTGACCTGTTCATTTTATGCCGTCGAGCGCTGCGGAGCGTCTGCAAACAGCGTACATTCTGTGTAGAGGCGGGTGGTTTGGTGGAGATGGTGCCGTTCAATAGTCAAAGCATAATTTTACCCTTCGTAGAGCAGCGTGCAAGAGGGTCAAAATTTCGCGTTGCCATGACGGGGAATGCAGCATTTGTCCGCCAAAGTGTACCGAGAATACTGACAGCGTTACGTTTTGTCGATGCCCTTGGCCTGGTACCTGTGTTTATCGGTGTCCTACGTGATGCATCTGTTGTATATAACGTTTGGGACCTTGTCCGGACTTATTGGGCGGCGGTTTCAGTCATGGGCTGGAGAAAAACACCTCACGAACAATCCAACTCAACCCAAGCCATTTGACGTATTTCAAACTCGCGTTCCCGGTTCCTTGATGTTTATTTGGCTATTACTGTCCCGACCCATGGTTCAGGAATCTCCATGGAAATCCAATTTCTATTTCAAACTCGTGGGGTACATATCTTTGAACGGGGAGGTCTTGATATATGGCTGTTCCGAGGTTAATATTCCAAAAGATGACGTGTGATCCGAAACTCCGTCCAGTGTGCGCACACCTTGCTGCCACACATACTACGCTGCAGCAGTATACAGCAGTACGTTGGAGAGAGAGACCAACTTGGAGAGACGGGAGACTTTCACCACTGCTACGCTGCTGTCAGCGAACTATATAGGATGAATACGCACGCCTGTGTTGAGACTTCGTATGTGGTTGGGATGTGTTTCAAGAGAGAGACAGAGCGACACCACACAGCGAGATGCTGTTTTTCCTCTCTCTCCGGCTGGCCAGCTGGCTAAAGTATCGCATGCATGCATGATGAACAGGATGATGAACACATCAACAGACAGCTACGGCTCGCTGCCAACACCAAGCACACACACCAGACACGCACACCCTAGCCACTCATGCCCCAGTTATTTAACCATGCACCCTTCAGGAGGGCACTCTCACGATCGATGGTTATGATGTACTTTTGTCACCAAGCGGAGATGAGCCTTTGGAAAGAAAAAACAACCGATTCTTGAGCGACAGCAGAGGATCGATGCATAACTGGATGAGAGATTCATGAAGCTATGAATACTTGCGTGCGCGCGGTGTCCTAAAATCTCTGGGGGTACGGGTCTACGTTTTGTGTCCGTCCTCTGTCGTTCTTTGCTTCTGGCCGAGATTGCCAGCTGCTAATACCTGGAGGGAGCGGCTGATGGGTGGAGCCGTTGGATTTTTCAAGTCGAGATGCGGTTATGCTGTGCTATTTGAAAGGTGTTGTATGTAGACGAGGAGTGATGCATCATCGGTGATATATCTCAAGCAGGAGGACGGAGGGGTGGAATGGTCTGCGAGGTAGAAGCCACGCTGGCTTGCACCGTGGTAGCTGTTCGAGTAGTAGCAGTCGGTCCGTGCGGCATGGTTACCCTCGTGCGAGCTGTCCCTCCCTTCCGTCACGGGCGGAGGTACAAAAAGCTAAAGATCCTTCCTGAATAAATATGTAATCGGGCCAACACACCCCTCTGAATATTTATTCGGGAAAAAAGATCTAGCCGGAAATTCCCGACCCATGGTTCGGGAATCTCCGCGCGGTATTTCAAACTCCAATTCTCGGGAATCCCGAGAATCCAGTCAAATAACCCAGGAATCTCGAGTTTGAAATATGTCAATTGGTACACAATCCAAGTTACAATGACATAATTCCGTTTCGCTCTCACCGCCAGCGTTGAGTCTCGTCAAAATCTCTTTCATCGAGAACTTCCGCTGGTAGGATGTCAGTTCCTTGTCCTCGGCCCTGACTTCGAAAACCATCACATAGTCCCACGTGTACCTGATCCATCAGTCAAGAGAGTTGGTATGTGACCCGGGTTGGAATGTAATTTTGGTCCTGCGAATGTTGCACGGTACAATCTGGAGACAAAGATGCTGATGAGGCACCACCTATTTATAGAATCTGAGCACGTCTCTCTGTGTTTGTTATCGCAAGAGAGCTCGATTTTTACCCCCCAAGGATATACTGACTGCGTCTAAACATGGTCTCTATCGACAAGTTGTGCGAAGTTGGAGTCATCTTTGTTGCTATGTTGGACATTGTATCACGGTGTGTCACCCGAAGGGATGGAACATTCCTGGACATTCATCGCCCTCAAAACCTACCCATTGAGTTCCCGGAACATGTCCTTCGAGGCAGCACGCTTGCGACGTAGGTCATCGATTTCCTCTTGCACATTCTTGTCAACTCTCTCCACGTACTTCGCAGGATCGAACAAGGACGACAGAGAAGTAAATATATTTTTCGTAAGAGAAAATTCAACACCGCCAGTTGGAAAGTGTGTGTTGCCCCTACGACGTGCAAACTTGGTTACGTTGTTCTGTGGGATATTGATGTAACGGATTGGATGCGACTACAGTAACAACCACAGTTCGTGGTCCCGGTTCAGCGGTTCCCTGTTTAGCGGGACCCCCTGAATTTTACATAGCGGTTCCACAATCTCGTGGCACGGCTGCACCTCGGTACTGTCAAACTACCAAATAACTGCCAATCCGGTTTCGCGGCGATGCCCTCAATATCGGTTATAACGTCTTGTGACATTATGGAACGCTAAACCGGGACCACGACTATGCGCTCCGTCCGTCCGGAACAGTCGCGTACGTATAGCGCGAGTACCTTGCCAGCTATATCTCCTCATCTGGACTGTACGGGTGGTGGGCCTATGTACATGGACCACACTTTGTACTGAATCATATGCACACAAAAATACAGCTTTTGGGTGTACTTGTATTGGCTACTGAACCGCCGTGCACACAGAGTGAAGGTAGGCAACAAGTCTAGTGCATGATGCATGTAGAACAAGGCCAGCCTTCTGGCATACCCTCCATCATGTCGAGATTTGGAGAAGCTCCCACCTTGAGCAATATATACAGGAGGAGGAGCAGCCCTCCAGACAACCCGAAGATGATGGCAATGTTCACCGCGGCCCCATTGGCCATGACCAAGTCGTCGTCATCAGAGTCGACAGCGATAACGACCTCGCTCACCAAGCAGGCAAACAGCAGTAGGAGGAGCAGACCCAACCAACTTCCCATTTCTCGCCGCCACATGTTGTTCAACGTCTGTTCTTCCACGCCTATTGTTCTTCCGCTCCGGTCTCTGCTTCTCAGTATCTTCAAACATGAGTACCGTTCCAACTGACGAGGGTGCCTTCTGTGGTTACATTCCCAGCTCAAAAGTAGCAGGAGAGATGCATGGCTAGGAAAGGTAGCCTGTGCTTGGCAGCAGAAGCTGCCTGTAGGCTTGCGGGTAGGATGCGGGGAGTTTGGTAGGCCGTTACGATGCCGAACAGCAACCTGCCCGAACACTGAACCCAAAGGCGGCATGACTTACTTCTGTGGGGGCGGCAGGTATGCAGAGATGCAGAGATGCAGAGTGCTGGGCGGAAGAGAAGAGAATCGTGTGCGGTATTGTGGCACTGGCTGTTCGAGGAAGAGCAAGAGTGTGGCTACATATCCAGCTCAAGCCTCTTCCATCAGTTTTCTGGGGCCTACGGCGCGCTGCGCTGTATTTCCCTCGAGAGTCCACAAAGGCGTGTTCTTGAACCCTGCAGGGGGCAATCACGGCAAGGAGGCACGCAAAGAAGTGGCAGCTATGGGACGTGCTAGCCCTTTCCACGAGACAGACGGCGACTACCGGACGGAAAAGTTCATGGAGGGTGGATCGTCAGTGCTTCCCCTGTACAGCCTCCAGGACTCCCTGCCGCGGCTGCCCCTGCCGACGTTAGAGGAAACCTTCGCGAGATACTTGGTTTCGATTGAACCTCTGGCGGACCAGGAGGAGTACAAGGCGACTGCTGCAGCTGCTCGAGAGTTTCTTCGTCCAGGGGGATTGGTGAGGGGAGGCTTCCAATGCTGCCGTATTTCTCGTTGCCGCTGTTATCCAGCCAGGAAGGAGGACCTGCTGAATTCCGTATATAGATTCTTCTTAGCATTTTCTTGTCAGAATTGATACCAATCCCTCCGCGCTCTGGATCGTGAGGCTGGCTCCGAGCGGGTCTAGAGGGTCGTTGCCAAAAAATCACGATGGGCGACGTACGGACTGCAAGCGGCGTGATCCTTCTCCTTCTCCATCCTAACGTGCGGCTTCCAATTTCAGTAGCTGTAGACTAAACTCGTAAGCCTCGTGTACTCCGTAAAGTACGCGAACCCTTACTAAAGTTACGTATGCATGTGTGTATTTCTCCAACTCTAACCCTAACCCTAAAAGGGAGAAAGACTGCAAGCGCGGCTTGCCCGACGCTCAATAGATCGCCACGACTCGAGCTGGCTTGCAGAGTGGTGGAACAAGCTAGGCTACCTGGACGACCGAGGGCCCACGGTGTTCTTCGTGTCGTACTTCTACCACTTCTCGGACAGCCCGAGAGCGGCCGTGGAACGGACGCAGACGGGCCGCGCCGCCGCGCTCATCCATGCCGCGCTCTTGTTTCGGCGTGCCGTTTTCACCGGCCGCCTGCCCCCTGAGAAGGTCGGCAAGAAGGGGGTCCCTCTGTGCTCCACGGCCTACAAGTACATGTGAGAATCGGCCTCGTGCCATTCCGTAGTCATGTTCCCCCCGATCTCAGGCCCGCGACGTCACATGCGGCAGCAGCAGCTGCTCGTGTGCTGCGTACATGTAGTACAAATTCTTTTATCATTAGCCCGTCCCGACTACAGTTAGGAAGATTGTTCCAACCCAGTCCCGAGCACACGTTTCCTTACTCCTTGCGTCTCAACCCACTACCGCTGAAGGTTCAACGCATGCCGGGTGCCGGGAGAAGCCGAGGACCGGGTCCGGCTGTTCCCGGCCGCGGGCAACCACCACATCCTGGTCATCCGCCGCAACCGCTTCTTCGTCGTGCACGTCACCGACGCTGAGGGGCAGCCCTTGTCCCACCGAGACATCCAGCTGCAGCTGCAGGCCGTCGTCGACCTAGCCGGCCCGGCTGCCTCCGAGTCCGCGCCGCCGTCCAGGCCCGTAGGCGTGCTGACCTCCTGGGGTAGACCCGAGTGGGCAAAAGCTAGGGAGCAGCTGGTAGCGGACGGTAACGAAGAGCTCTTGGAGAGGGCGGAGGCGGCGGCACTCACCGTGTGCCTGGACGACCATGCGCCCCAGACGAGGTCCGACGTGGCGCGCGCGCTGTGGCACGGGGACGGGCGGAACCGGCACTTCGACAAGTCGGTGCAGATCGTGGTGTTCCGGAACGGGAAGGCCGGGCTGGTCGGCGAGCACTCCATGATGGACGGAATGCCGGTGAGGGGGAGGGTGGGGGCATGCTCTGTTGTTGTTGCTTGCTTCCGTCGTTTGACCATTGGCCACGAACCCCTCTCCAGGCGGGGATGGCGTGATCATGTTCAAGTGTGGTGTGGCTGGGAGTTCTTTGGCCTCGCGTTGGGGGGCGCAATTCTCATGCACGGGATGGGGGATCATGGACAAATATTGTATTGAGAGTCATGGGAAGAACTACAGTAGGGGGCTGGAGAACTCCCGACCCGTTTTCGGCGAAATGTAGGTCGGATAAAAATGTGAGTGTTCGGAAGGCAATATTCGGCGGTGAGGTCAGCGCCTCTGGTCTGATGCACAGGTGCTTGGTAGGCATGTACAGTAGACGTTGTATTTTTTGCGCGATCGAAGGTATCTTTGATATGCAAGTGGCTACGCTTGCTGTTTGCACGATTCGAACCTACAGACCAATCCTGACGGATTGACTTCAAACTAAAACCCAAGATTGGTTTGCAACCCTCTTTGTGTCGTAACTTGGAGATTTTCACCCGTTGAGCACATGATACTTAAAAAATCAACACGAAACTTGGTTCCCTTGAGCCGACCACTGAAAGTATCGCTAAACGGCGCCGCGCTTTTTCTACAGACCCTCCGCCTGGCCGACTTCATGATGAAGAAAACGATGGGATTTTCAGCCGATTCTTCAGCGGGGAGTGATTCCTCCCCCGAGTCTTGGTCTCCCGTTGCCGTCACCCCGCCCCGCCCTCTGGACCTCGCCCTATCGCCCGCTTCCCTTAGAGCGATTGCCTCGGCAGAGGTTGCCTTCGATCGACTGGTCAACCAACACGAGGCGAGTGAAACGTCCGGAGATGCTGTGTTGGCTGTTGTTGTTGCTGCTGCTGTTGCGGTTGCTACATACATCGGTGAAGGGTTCGACACGAAATAGTTGGTGTGTTCTGGTCGGTACTGCAAAGATTTTCCGTCTCCTGCTACTTGTATTGGAAGTATCCAATAGTCGGGAGCGAATCAGTTTAAAAAAAATCACTCACCAAACCTTGCCACTCCCACAATATGTTGGTGGTCCTTTGTCGCTTTTATCAGATGGACGTTTTGGAGTTTACAGGCTACGGCGCGAACACCATCAAGAAGTTCAAGATCAGCCCCGACGCCTTCGTGCAGATGGCTCTCCAACTCGCGGTTTTCAAGATGACGGGTACAGCAACGCTTCAGTGTTCCTCCTAAGCATCCGTTCTTGAGGGCGAAAATATTCATACATTTCCAGCGCGTATCCCGACATGCGTCGGGTAGGGTGTTACCTCTGTCTTTGTTATCGCAGCAGGTTGGACCTCTGTCTTTCTTATCGCAGTAGTTTGGCCTTTGTCGCTATTCACGCCTCCTAAATCAAAGTTGTAGTGCCCTCGTGATAAAATAACACCATACAACCTCCCTCTCGACTTGCACGAGCCCAGTATTTCCCGAACCTCGTCGGAACCTCGTATCCCCAGCACCTAAAACATCGACTTCCGTTTGTGAGGCGCACCGTATCAATAATGATCTTTCATCACCTTTCAGACAAGAGCCAATCCAAACATCTGCGCATAGTTCCTGTTGATTGGTGCCGCTGAGACTGACACATTCTCACCTTTTCATCCGATTAATCGTGTTTCATGGTTTTGCTTGCGTTGCTTTTGTAGACGTGTGTGGTACCCTCTTGGGTAGGGTTAGGGTTAGGGTTAGGGTTAGGGTTAGGGTTAGGTAGTTGGCGTGTGGCCAAAGAAGGCGTCCGCATCGGTTGGACCGGCAAGGATGTTGGAAGGCACTGACCAGATACGGGAACTGGTCCTAACGTGAAAAAAATCACGGCAATGACAGATGGAGACCCGCACCCACACGCGAGGCCCCTTATCTTGGTGTTCTCACGATTGTCTTCCCTGCCCAATGTCTGCGTTGCCCCATATCCTCCTACCTTCTCTTCTTCGACGTACGGACCCCGACAAACAGGCGAGATGTGGGCCACCTACGAGCCCGCTCAGGTCAGAAAGTTCCTCCACGGTAGGACCGCCTGCGTGCGCTCCCTGTCCAGCGCGGCCAAGGACTGGGTGCTGTCGATGGAGGACGAGGGGGACAGGAGGCCTACTCCCCACCGCCTCGGGCTCTTGCGGAGGGCGGCGGAGTCACACATCGAGTATGCTCGGAGCGCAGCTGAGGTCGGTTAGGGTGTGTGTGTGTGTGTGTGTGTTTTTTGTCATCATCCCGTCGGAAAGCCGTTTGTTTCGGGTTGCCTACTAGTCGTCTGCACACTCGGGAATCGGGCATCCTTGTTGTCTTATTTATCCCCGAAGTTGGAATAGCCCGTCCCTCTGCTCAAGTTTCTGCCACAGCCTTGTGGCTCAAGGGTTTCGTGAAGGGGACGAAGAACTATCATTTGCTGGGGCGGCGGGACAAAGGGGGGCGGGCGGAGACGTCTTTCGATTTGTTTTGTTTGGCATCATCACTCAGGCGACCCACGAACAAGGCGTTTTGGATAGATAGACTGACTCAACAGCGGGAAGCTTCGTTTCGATTCTTGCAAGGCTCGCAAGCTAACGAACGGTATTCAATGCACACAAGTTTGTTTTTGTTCCCTTTGCGAAAACTGCGCATCCTCGAGTAAATCAGTCCACGCTCAAACGTGGCGACCAAACCCGTAAATAGGCTGACTAGTTGTGGCTGCCTTGTACCCGCCCCCCCCCCCCCCCCCGGGGCCCCCGTGTTTT